TATTTTCAAACGCTTATTTTCTAATGTTTACCGCTTACTTCCTACTGTTTATTTCTTACCACTTATTTTTATTTTACTTTTCTTTTGCTTATTTTCTCCTTAAGAAATTTAAAAATGCTTCTACTAAGCACTGTCCCATATTTTACACCCAGTAATTACCGAACCTGGGCTCCCTACCCTACTTTTGCTTTCAGCTTTTACTTTTAGTTTTCTACTTTTTCTTTCTGCACGTGCTTCAAGGGAGTCCCCTTTCATCTCACCACTGTAGTTCCCCCAAACTCAGGCCCTGTTCGTCATAACTCAGACCCTGTTCCCAGAACTCAGTCCCTGCTCGGGCACCATATGTGGTGAGCCGGCACGGTCATGGCATACTCAGACCCAGGGTGCCTATGTGCCATGCCAGCTCAGCATGGTTCAGTGACCTTGAGAGGGGGCGGTGAAGGATTGAGAAAAGACAGACAAGAGAATGAGCTGGGTCTGGGTGGGACACTGCTCCCCTGATGGAGAGACAGTGCCAATGCCCACAAGCTGTGTCTTCATCAAAGTAAGGGACTGCTCAAGATGTTTACAACATTCTTATGGGCTTTAATCCTACTCAACTACATGCACCTGAACTCTATCAAGCCCATATTACTCAGGCACGTGGGGCCACGTGTTCACACCATAGGTTCAAGCTTACAACTATAGCTGTTGGTTATAATTGTGCTGGGAGGGCCCTGCCAATTACATGTGGGACTTGCATGTGGCAATGAAAGGACTGTGCCCTCTCATTAGTCCAAGGCTTGAACCTGTCCAAAACACTGTAGCTGCTCCCCACACAAAACCCTTGTCCACAGGCCAATGCTCTATCCACTGAGCCAAACCAGCTAGGGCATCAGTTTATTTTGTTACTTAGATTCCACATATGAGATCATGTGATACATGTATTTCTCTGACTTATTTCACTTAGCATGATATTCTCCAGGACCCTCCTTGCTGTCTCAAAGGGTAAGAGATTCTTTTTTACTGCTGTATAGTATTCCATGGTGTAAATGTACCATGGCCTTTTAGCCACTCATCTACTGATGGGCACTTGGGCTGTTTCCAGATCTTAGCTATTGTAAATTGTGCTGCTATGAACACAATTTTAAATATATTTTTATTGATTTCAGAGGGGAGAGAGAGAGAAAGATAGAAACATCAATGATGAGAGAGAATCATTGATCAGCTACCACCTGCACACCCCCCACTGGGGATTGAGCCTGCAACCCAGGCATGTGCCTTTGCCTGGACTCAAACCCAAGACCCAAGGGGTGCATACTTTCTTTCTGATTGGTATTTTGGTGTTCTTAGGATATATTCATAGAAGTGGGATCACTGGGTCAAATGGCAATTCCATATTTAATTTTTTGAGGAAACTCCATAGTGTTTTCCATAATGGCTGCACCACTCTGCATTTCCACCAGTGTACTAGGCTGGGGGCAATTGCTTCTGCCTGGAGGCTAACTGTTATTCTCAGTCTCTTAATGGGCCTCAGAAACTCCACACCTTGGGGCAAGGTGTTTTCCAATATGGTGGATCTACTGTCTTTCTCCCCCCTACCCCCCAGGCAAGATCCCTGGATTTTAATTGTCTGCATGAGAAAGAAGTCCTCTGCTGCATGAGGGAATGACTCAGCACAGGAAACTGAGGTGTCTGCCTTCTGAGCTCTAACCCTAGAGCCCCCAACCCTGATTTCTGCTCACACAGCTCCAGTACACTCTGCCTTCCCTCTGCTGGAGCACAAGGTAAGTGGCTACACATGGAATTTTGTGAGTTGGCCCTTTAAGAGGGTGCAGACAGCAACCCTGCTGCTTTTCACAGCCAGATGTTACGTGAACACCTTTCTCTGCTCTGGTGCTCTCTGCTGAGGGGCCCAGCTTGGGGATTAGACCCCAGAGTTCTCAGTGGCAACCCCACAGATGAAGTATCTCTTCAGCTGGTGTCTGTGGGAGCCTGTCTAGCCCTTTTGCACCTCTGCCCTTCCTGTCACTCTCTATGCAGTCTTCATTTTCCGTCCTTGGTTATCAGGGTTCTCTCCAGCTAGTCTTCAGTTGATTATTCAAGATGTTCTTTTAGTTATTAGTGGTCCGGTGCACGAAATTTGTGCACATTGAAAGGGAATTAATTAGAGGAACGTAATTTGGACTATCTAATATCAATAATATCTGAGCGTGAGGCAGTCCACGTTTCTGAAATTCAATGACAATTTTAGCTATTACTTTGCCAAATAAATGGAATTTACAGACATCATTTAAAAGAGCATTCAGCTTAATTTTAAAAACTCTGGCTACCAAGTCAGGTCTGTTTTCAACTTTTTGCCAGTGTTGTAAATTGTTTGCAATATCTGCCCATTTGGGGTTGCATGTCATGGTTATGAATAAATCGGGCTTGCCATACTTCGTTACAATTGCCATAGCATTCTGATATCACTGCTGCATTTTCTGGGACTACCCTCAAAAGATGATGAAAGTATTATCATTTTACCAATCAGCACATTGTCATTTTCAGATCTAGATTTGAGATAATCCATCAAACCACTATATTTTTCAACTCTCAACTTAGATTGGTTTGCTTTGATGAAATTTACCCGATTAGCCTCCATTTTTGAATATGAATCCACGATAAACTGTTAATTTTCCCGCATTTAAAATAGGATTGAATGTGTCCTGCACAGAGAGATGAAATCCATAATACTGCATTTGTGTGAATCATGTCCTTACATTTTGTCTAGTATTACTGTCAATTACACTGTTGTCTCTGAGTCTCATGCAGTATCTGTTCCCCAGCCTTTTTCACCATGTGGAAAAAGAATATGTCATTGCATCTAATGTAGGAAATGATATTGATTTGTTTCATTTTAGTGGCATTTGTATTATTGGGATCTGGTTTGCAATGAATGAGCGAGTCCCTTTCAAAAGGAGGTTCTCCATCTTCGTTTCTAAATATGACAGCAACCTTGGTTACATGGGAATTATATCTACGTGGGTCACTGTTACGATCGTATTTAATTGCCATTGTTACTTCTGTCTCCCAGGTCAGTGAAGGCCCCAGGAGTCCAGGAGCGTGGCTTGGCTGGCCTTGCCTCCTGGGGCGCTTGACACCTGCATATGCAAATTAACCCGCCAGTTTTTATCAGCTTAATTTGCATACCCACTCCTGATTGGCTGGTGAGCACAGCGGAGGGATGGTCAATTTACATGTTTCTCTTTTATACCAGTAGCCTGGTGCACAAAAATTTGTACACTCATGGGGGTCCTTCAGTTATTAAACATTTATCGGCACAACACTGACCACACTGGTGGTGGTGGTCATCTTGTCAGAATGTTATATTATGCAGATGAAAATCTATTTAAACAGATTTGATGTAGATATTTTCAAAGATGGAAGAATTGTCCGTGTCAACTATTTTAGTTGATTCATATCTTCAGTAATTGTCATCATTGCAAAGTTTTCAGTCCCCATATGGATTGCTGGATATAATAGGTCATGCGCTGTCCCTGTCCTTTGTAGTCTTTGTTACCTTAAGGACTCTAGTTTTCCATTTGTATGTTTAAGTACCAACCTTACCGGCTTAAAAATGTAAGCTTTTAACACTGCTCTCTGTTCCGTATCCTTCTGATGAAAAGTGGAGTTGGGTTGCAGCACAGGAGAGAAATTCAGAAGGGGAATATTGAAGTAATGACTGCAGTAGGAGAAGAGGGAACCTATTTCCTTGGCCACAGGCGCTGGTGCCCTGGACCACAGGGCTGGCAGCTTCTCCGGGTGGCTGCAGCCTGGGACCTCGGGCGGGTGGCTTGTCCGTCTCCTGGGCTGCAGCCAGCCACAGGCGCTGGCGCCTGGACCAAAGGTGGGCGGCTTCTTCTTCTTCTGTGCTTCCAGGGAGGGCAGTCAGTTATGTGTATATGTGTGTGCTTGCAAACATAGGCATGTACACGTGTGTATGTGGAAATCTGCTGGGCAAGTCAAAACCATAGAAGAGTTGCCTCCTATCTTGAATCTTCCAGAGATATCCCCCACTTTTTTATTCTATCACTACTGGAGAGTCAGTATTTACAGCCAGCCAGCCAGCCAGTGACTCTCTCAGTGTTTACTTCTGACTTCTTCTTTCCCTGTCTGTCTTCCAACCCCTAATCATATTTCCACCTGGATGCATCATTTTTACTCCCAATATGCTGTATAGAGAAGGAGTCAGGATGCTGTCTTCCCATGAATAGTACTCAGTAACAAACCAATTGCATTTTAGTTGGGCAATGCCCCTACCCACCCTTCAAATCCCTTCCACCATGCATTTCTGTTTCCCTTTGTTTGTTGGATTGTTCTGCTACTCCTTCTCCTCACCCCACCACCCTTGGATCGTAATGTAAAATTCTTTTACCATGTCAAGAAATTATTAAAAATACAGGTACTTTGAAAAAAAAATACTGGTACTTCTTGGAACACCGGCTGGGGGGGGTGGGGGGGCAGGGAAGAGGCGCCTTCTCTGATCACGGGCCGGGGAGCGGGCAAAGGCGGCCCCGGCTTCTCCGATCACAGCCGGGGGGCAGGGCAAAGGCAGCCTCGGCTTCTCGGATCACCGGCCAGGGGGTGGGCAAAGGCGGCCCTGGCTTCTTCGATCACTGGCCAGGGGGTGGGCAAAGGTGGCCCTGGCTTCTCCAATCACGGCCGGAGGGCAGGCAAAGGCGACCCCGGCTTCTCCGATCACCAGCCGGGGGGCGGGCAAAGGTGGCTCTGGCTTCTCTGATCACGGGCTGGGGAGCGGGCAAAGGCGGCCCCGGTTCTCCGATCACGGCTGGGGGGCAGGGCAAAGGTGGCCCTGCCACCAGGCTCTTGCCTGCTGCCTGGGTTTCCAATCAATGTCAGTGGCAGGCGGCTTCTTCCGTCCTTCCCTTTTCACCTCCCAGCATTGCGCCTTTGTTGGCAGTTAATTTGCATATCACCCTGATTAGCCAATGGGAAGGGTAGTGAAGGTATGGTTAATTACCATGTTTGTCTATTATTAGATAGGATAGGATCATTCCAGTTTGGTCCTGGGAGTGTAGCATCCACTTACTGTGCCGTCATTTTTAATCTCTGATCTACTCAGTTCTGAATCTAAAATTTCCCCCCACGTTTCTGCATCCATTGGGCACATGGTTGTTTCTGACAGGAGAGTAGGCAAATTTATGTTGCTGAATTTGCCACTTAGCCATCCATGTTTTACTTGACTCTTCTGGTAATTCCTCAGTAGTGTGTCCTGAAAGAGGTAAACCAGCATCATCACAGAAGGTAGTAGGTTGCTACCTGGTGAGTTGAGTTTCTTTGAAACCAGAGAAGCTGATTGACAGGGCTGAAAAGAAGATTAAATTTTTACATTGATATACACATATACTACTAAATTTGTGTGTGTGTGTGTATGTATAGATATACATGTAATTGTATACATATACAATGTGAACCATGGAGTTTGCTGGGGTTTTGGATAATGTAAAGTTAAAAGCAGTAGTCACTTTCCTTCTGGTTAACAGAGGAAAATGCCCAAATTTAAGATTGAAAAAATGTTGAAGGATGGATAGGAGATAGTGTGGTTTGCAGGAAAAGAATAATAATTCAACTTTAAGTTCAAAAGTCAACACACTCTGTATGTCATTCTCTATATGAAATTTTACCTCCTCCAAGCAGAAAGTAGAGTTTGGTTCACACCTACTACCATATTCTACCATTTAATAAAGAGGGAATATGCTAATTGACCCTCACACTGTTGCAAAGATGGCGGCGCCCACAGCCAATAAGGAGGGAATATGCTAATTGACTTTCCACCCTCAAAGATGGCATGCCCACAGCCAATAAGGAGGCAATATGCTAATTGACTGCCCTGCCCTCAAAGATGGCGGTGCCCACAGCCACAAGATGGTGGCGCCTAGTCCCGAGGGTCGTCCCAAGGCATAGGCAAGTCTCAGATGGTGGCTGCCCAGGGCTGCCCGAGGTTTCAGTAACCAGGGCGGGCTGAGGCTTGCGCTGTTGCCAATGGCAGCAGTAGAGATGTGATGGGTGTTGCCTTCCCCTGATCCCGGTGTCGCCTCCTGTCCCTGAGGGCTCCTGGACTGTGAGAGGGGGTAGGCTGGGCTGAGGGCCCTCCCCCCTCCCCCGCCTCCAGTGCATGAGTTTTCATGCACTAGGCCTCTAGTTGTTAATAACACTGCAGACCACAAAAATGACACTTACCCTCCAGGAATAACCGCTTTTCCGATCATCATCTACTTCTCTTTCGCACACAGCTCGTAGAGCCAAGCAATGAGGTTTCCATAAGAAGTCATTGTTTCTTATTGTGTCATTCCAGCTCCTGCATGTCATTGAAGCCCTGCACAAACTCTGAATGTCCAGCTGACTGAAAATCTGTAAAGTAACTTCTTCAGGCAGCCACATAAAAAAGTTATTTTGATTCATTTTTCCCCCTCAGTATTCACGGAGTTCAATTGTATATCAGAAACTCTTGAATTATGGTCCTTTTGGAGTTATTCTGCTTAGCTTGATGTTTTAGGTAATCTTCACAGGTAACCTAAAAGGCAGAGTTTAAAGTTAGTCTCTTCAGATCAGACTATGGGTCCCACTTTGAGCCAGATATCTTGACTTGAGCTTTTCAATCTGTAAAATGGGGCCAATAATGCTCCTCACGTGTATGTTCTTGCTAGGATTAACAGGGATAACATGTGAATCATCTAACCCAGGGGTGGGCAAACTTTTTGACTCGAGGGCCACAATGGGTTCTTAAACTGGACCGGAGGGCTGGAACAAAAGCATGGATGGAGTGTTTGTGTGAACTAATACATGTTAACATGGCTGCTGGTGAAGGAGTGGAGGGGAGAGCAAGAGAACCCTCCGCTCTTTCGGCTCCGCAGGCCGGATAGAACAGCCGAACGGGCAGGATCTGGCCCGAGGGCCGTAGTTTGCCCACGGCTGATAGCCTCACTTCTGAATTGCATGTTGGAGACACTCGGCAAATGTTACTTTTCTTCTTTTTAATATTGTTAGTAAATGGGTTTGTTAGTAAACATCTGTCTTTCTGCTTGCTCCCAAAACACATGGTCTTAAAAAAAAAAGAAGCGATTCTTCACAGATTATGATTTATTGAGTTCAGTAGAAATGCCTATTGTGAGAACACATTCCAACTATTTATTGAAAATACCTTTAAAAATATGTGGGATTCAATTCTGTTAAGCTCCTGAACACTCACTGTCTGTGAGAACTGATGCCTTGTCATTAAGGTCTTCACCTAAATTTGCAACCTAATCATAAACCTGATGGACATTTATAGTTTATATAATAATTGTTTATCAACTTGTGCCGAATGGGCAGGTACTCACATTTGACACAAATACTATCTAAAATGAATAAGAGAGTTACAATGACACAAAGACTCAAATATTCATTTCAAGATGAGTATTTTAGAAATGGTCTCTTGAAGGTATCCTACTTGCACAATTAATTGTGAACCAAGGATAATAGTCACTGAGGCTATCAAGCAACAGTGACCAACCACTATAAACAATGTTTATAATTCAGCTAGGTACAGCACTTAACTAACAATTGGGGTGGTGAACACACAATACAATATACAGATGATATATTACAGAACTGTAGAATTGTACCCCCCAAACCTATATAATTTTATTGACCAATGTCACCACAATAAATTCAAAAAAATGTTAAAAACAAGTAAACAGAAAACTAATCTTGTACCTTTACTTCTATCACCAATTACTGTATTTGAAAGTGTTTTGTATAAAAGTAATTATAAGTTAAAATAATGAATAAAGGTGTTTTTTTTTCCCTAACTGAAAAAAAGTCCGGTTTTAGCTAATTTCCCTGAGGTGTATGGTGTAGGCTTCCAAAATCAGTTGAAAGCATGCAGCTATTTTTTGCATATAAAGACAGCTTATACTTACTTACAATTGGTTTATTTCATTTTGCACTTCCTTCTATACTAGAGAGTGATGGTGTTAAGGAGGGGTTTGAAATACAGCTAAATACTTCTTTTAACTTAGCTCATGACAATTTCCCTTTCTAGATGAGCTACTCATGTACAAGTTCCTGGACTTACCAAGGCCACAGCTGCTCCCATTCAGTTGATTGTTTATGATCCAAAGTAACTGGTGGTCAGAATTTTAGGGCCTGTATTCATGCAACAGAGGACTTCCTCTTGAGGCTTTGGGGAAGTAAAAAAACCAAAGAGGTAAAAACAAGATTTATGAGTCATCCCCAAGTTTTTGCCATGCACCACCCCTCCCGTCTCATCATCAAAACAAACCAAAGCCATATTACCATATTCTTGAAAAGAATCTCATATTAGGAGAACACTGCTATTTGTTACTACTTCCAGGATCTCACTGGGGAATAAAATGCGCCTTCTCATTAGTTACTCCACAGGAGGCAGAAGAAGGCTTTTGAATTTGTGAGGTTCCTAAAATCCCACTAGACATCTTTCTTATGAGTCCAGTTTTGCCTGGATGCCTAGAAAACTATCCCCTTTCTGCCTGTTCCTTACGAACCAAACTGCCGAATTACCTCTCGAGTTAGGGAAGGGCTCGCCCCCTTTCAGGTGTCACTCGGACGGAGATGGATCCGGAGGCAGGACAGACCTGGCCGCGGGCGCCTCCCGGCTCTCGGGGAGCCCCACCCTGTCCAGACCCCGCAAGTCGGAAGAAGTGACCCCGCGTCCGCTCTGAGCCCCCCTTTTTGCGTGCCCCACGCAGGCTGCAGCTGACAGCTCAAGAACAGAGCTGACAATAACAGCTCTGAGCACCGGCTGTCACTTCAGCTCTGCGGCGCTGAGCGGAGGCTGCGTTGGCGCAGGGACCCGACATTGATACAGCCGGCTGGACTGCTGGACGCCGGCAGGAATGACCTTACCTGCTGGAAGGTGCCGGCTTCTCTGGCAATTTGAATCCTCTGGCCACTGAATCCCGTCCCCGAGTCCCCTGGCCCCGCCCACTCTAGCCCCGCCTTGCTGGCTGATTTGGTTTTGGCGGGAAGAGGCGCGCGCGCTCTGATTTGGTTTTGGCGCGAAGAGGAGCGCGGGCCGACTCTGATTTCGCGTCGGGCGTAGAGAGGAGCTCGCGCGGACTCTGATTTCGCGTCAGGCATAGAGAGGAGCGCCGCCGACTCTGATTTCGCGTCGGGCGTAGAGAGGAGCGCGCGCCGACTCTGATTTTGCGTCCGGCGTAGAGAGGAGCGCCGCCGACTCTGATTTCGCCTCGGGCGTAGAAAGGAGCGCGCAGACTCTGATTTCGCGTGGGGCGTAGAAAGGAGCGCGCGCTGACTCTGATTTCCGGTTGGCGTAGAGAGGAGCCCGCATTGCCTTTTGGGATTGGTAGTTTTACTAGGGCGTGTCCGCTGTGTTAAGCAGGAGAAAGACGGCGCTACGGACTACACGATCCGGCGTCCTCCTAGCCAGGTGGGCGGTGGGAGGGGGGAAGGGGACGGGCTTTCCCGGGTGTTTTAAACAGTAGTTGGCTTACTGGCAAAGTGGGAATCCTCGCTTGCGTCACTGGTACAAGTAGGGAGGCGGGACTCCGGAAGGGTCACTCGGGCCCCAGCTGCGGGAGAACTTGACACACCCCGGCCAATTTCAGCTCCCCCCCTGCGTTTTCCCGGGGGACAAGGGGGCCTGTCCAGGCTCCGTGCGTGTCCCTGGAAGGCGGAAACGGCTGCGGGGACCCTCTCCTGGCGGAGGGGCCTGATCCTCGCCGCCATGTCCGGGGGCTTTGAGCTGCAGCCGCGGGACGGCGGCCCCCGGGTGGCCCTGGCGCCCGGGGAGACGGTGATCGGCCGCGGGCCGCTGCTGGGAGTAAGTGTGCGAGGGCTCGGCCGGACCCGAGAGCCGTGCAGCGAACGATCTCGCTCGCTTCTGCGGCCCTTTCCCCTCCTGAACCTATTCCCCACCACGCCGGCCATGTCTGGATTTTAAAAGATTGGGGCAGCACGTTTTTCACTCAGTCCACTCACACACGTTTCCCTTATGTTGCCTTTAAAAAGCACGGACTTGTGTTATCATCATTATCGTCTCATCCGGTGGTCGGCAAACTGTGGCCCTGGGTCCAAATCCAGCCTGTTTTGGATGGGCCTGCGTCCTAAGAACTTTAAGTTTTAAAGTGGAAAATGTAAACAAACAAAGAACCTGTTAGCCTTTCAGGGGAATAATTGCTCCAAGGGCTGTGGCTATTGCCTCTTGACTTGACAAACCACAATATTTACACTAGTTTCTGGCTCTTTATAGAAAAAAAGTTTGCCAACCCCTGAATTTATCTTTTCTAGAATAATTTCTTTTACGTTTTTGGCCTCTTTTGTGTGACTGATGGCCTCACTTTTATCGGAATAGTCTTTCAGTAGCTAACCCTTATGGGGTGTGTAGTGTTGCAGGCATTCCAAGTTCTTTAATCCGTTCAAAACCATGGGAGTTAGGTGCTCTTTTTATCCTTATTGTTCAGATGAGAAAATTGAGTTGTAGATCGGTTATTTAAAGGCCAGACGTAAGGTTTTGGACACAAAGTGGCACTAAGCTGTTTAATCTCCACCCTCTCTGGAATGTTTAAGAATTAGAAAAGTGGTCTGTTGCATTCTGAAAGTTTGTAGCTCTCCTTCTAAATGCTAGTACTTGCATGTTTTCTTAATCGTTAACACTTCTTTTTTAGTGCCCACTTTGTGCAACACATTCTGTAGACTCTAGCACTGTGGGGCATCCAAATATGAGACATGGGTTGATGCCCTCTAGTTTTTCTTGGACGGTGGAGACAAACCTGTGCCCGTGGGGTAATGCCAGGGAGTAATGGGTATGGACTGTTATCCTGGTTAACCTCCAGTGTCTAAATGGAACCATTGGTGTTAGTCCTAGAACCCTTCTCCAAGCAGGAAAAGTGAGAAGGAAGTCAGTCCTAAAGGTGTGTGTGTGTGTTTAGTAAGGTTAAGTAAGAAAGTTGAAATTCACCTGTTGTTTATTTTTATTTTTTTACCTTGCAAGTCATTACTTAAATGTTTAAATAACATTGATACTTTTTGCCACAATTTATTAAGCTGTACAAACATTTGAAGGAACTGCCTGGGAGGTTTGTCGTCTACCTACCCTTTTCTCTCCTCTTCCTTCTTCCCTATTTCTATCTTTCCCTCTATCCTATTCTCTCTCTCTCTCTCTCTCTCTCTCTCTCTCTCTCTCTCTCTCTCTCCTATCTCTATCTCTATTTCTATCTCTATCTCTATCTCTTTATCTATATCTAAGTTAGGAACTTAGCAGAGTATGTGTTTCATCTAGATCTTTTGACTGGTGACTAATGAGTTTTGATGCTTTACAAATTATATCACCAATGCAGAGTTCTATGGATCTAGTTAAAAGATGGGTGAATTTTAGGCCTATGTTTTATAAACATGTAAGTTGCAGACCCTTTCACCATTTGTAACTTGATCTTTTGTGTTCTAGGTTTCTTATTGTGATATGAGCTTATTTGGCTTCTGTTTTTGAAAATGGTAAGGAGTAGAAAGTCAATTATCTGGTTTGGATTTTGCTTTTCCTTTCAAAGCATAATCAAGTGATGGGATTTTATTGCCAAATTTGGCAGGCATTAGAAGTGCCTATGAACAATATCCTAAATGCATTGAACGGAAAATTTGAAGAACTAACAAATCATCTGTGGTTTTTAAGATTTGGGAGCTGACAGACACATGTATTTCTTCTCTGTAGTGGTTAACACTCAACTTGAGGGTTGCTTTTTCAAACAATAGCAATTCCAGTAAGGTGGGGTTTATCTTTTCTTTTTTTTTTTTTTTTTGGTAGTATGAGAGAGCAAAGACTTAGTTTTAAGTGAAAAACTCAGGAAGTTAATTGTAAATTCGAGTCTATCTGAAATGATCTATAATAATAAGAGTGTAATATATTAATTAGACCAGACAGCAGAACGACCTTCCAGATGTCATTCCAGAGGTCCTTCTGGATGAAGCCACTGCAGTGGGGGCTAGACAGAGGCAGTGAGACGCGATCAGGCAGGCAGGCAAGCAGTTAGGGGCGATCAGGCAGGCAGGCAGAGGGATTAGGGGCGATCAGGCAGACAGGTGGGCAGTGAGGAGCCAGGCCAGGGACTAGGAGCCAGTGGTCCCAGATTGCGAGAGGGATGTCTGACTGCCTCTAAGGATCGGGCCTAAACCTGTAGTCAAACATCCCCCAAGGGGTCCTGGATTGCAAGAGGGTACAGGCCTGGCTGAGGAACCCCCCTCACACCCCCCTGTCCCCCTCCACACACAAATTTCATGCACTGGGCCTCTAGTATTGGATAATAGGATAAGTGCTGACTAGATTTGTGGGATAATTATTACAACAATGATCCCATTTAACTTTTTACAGACATTATTTTTATAGCATTAGTTTTCTTTATCTTTTTGTAAAGGCTTTATTTTGTACAGCAGTTTTAGGCAGAATTGAGTTGAAAGTACAGAGTCCCATCTACCTCTGCCCCCCACCCCCATCTGCAGCCTCCCCCACTATCAACATCCTGTACGACAGTGGTATGTTCTATAAACTTATATTGACATGTCATTATCGCCCAAAGTCCATAGTTTACAGCGGGGTTCAGTCTTTGTGTACATTCTATGAGTTTTGACAAATGTGTAATAACATGTATCCATCATTGTAGTACCACACAGAATAGCTTTACTGCTTGGAGAATCCTCTGTGCTCTGTCTATTCATCCTTCCTTTCCCTCCCAGCCCCTGGCAACTACTGAACTTTTCACTGTCTCTATAGTTATACCTTTTGCAGAATATCCTATCATTGGAATCATGCAGTATGTATATGTGGACTTATCATATTGGCTTCTTTTACTTAGTAATATGTACTTAAGGTTCCATAGCTTTTCATGGCTTTTTAATGATGAGTAATATTCCATTGTCTGGATGTTCTATAGTTTATCCATTTACCTACTGAAGGACATCTTGGTTACTTCCAAGTTTGACAGTTATGACAAAGGCTGTTTTAAACATCTATGCACAGGATTGTATGGTAAGAATGTATTTAGTTTTGTAAGAAACTGACAACTGTCTTCCAAAGTGGCTATACTATTTGCATTTCTACCAGCAATGAATGAGAGTTCCAACCCAAATCTTCATCAGAGTTTGGTATTATCAGTGTTTTGGCTTTGGGCCTTCTGGTAGGTGTGTAGTGAATTACTTTTCTTATGTATATAAAAATTATCATCTGCCTATTTTTTCATATGCCTTCATATTTCTGTATGAGCTCCTTTCTCTGGTAACTTGATTTTGTAGGTGGTTTCTGGATATCTGTATTTTTAAAAAGCTTTGAAGATGATTCTATTATGAAACCGGAGTTCAACACCACTTCTAGACACACTATGAAGGATGCTTGGCACAGAATAGGTCTTTAAGAAAGGTCTGCTGAACTGAACTAAATAAGTAACAATTAAGAAACTTTAATTCACCAAAGTCTCAAATGAGGATTTAAATGCAGTTTGTCCTCCTAAGCTTTTCTTATGCATTTACTCACTATGTTGTCTCTGTCATAATATATTGATGATGAAGATGATGTTCTCACACTTGTATAGCATTCACTCTGCAAGCTGCATTGCAAGCCAAACTGGTTAGGTGAGTTGAAATTTCAACAGGAGCAAGTCAGCACAGTTCCATCATATTGGCTAACAATTCAGCAACCTTGAATTAGGAGATCAGAAAGTATTGGATTTTACTTTAAAAAATCTACATGATCCACATTTCATCAGTATTATGGATTAAATAGGTATTTGTGAGATAACCTGATAACCTTACCATTTACCCTGTTATACTTATGGAAAAGTATATTCACAAATTTCAAAAAAACTACTTCACCTCCAGTATACTAATAACCTTTATAAGCTTATTTGTAAATTGGAGTCTGTCTAGAGAGCTTATGGCCAAAATCAAGTATATTTTCTCAAAGTTGTCCTTTCTTTTCCTTTTTTTTTAAAATATATATTTCTATTGATTTCAGAGAGGAAGGGAGAGGGAGAAAGAGATAGAAGCATCAGTTATTGGCGCCTCCTGCACCAATTGGGGATTGTGCCTGCAACCTGCATGTTCCCTGACTGGGAATTGAACCAGGACCTCCTAGTTCATAGGTGGATACTCAACCACTGAGCCACACCGATCAGGCCAAAGTTGTCTTTTCTTTTCTTTTCTTTTTTTTAAAATATATTTTATTGATTTTTTACAGAGAGGAAGGGAGAGAGACAGAGAGCCAGAAACATCGATGAGAGAGAAACATCGATCAGCCGCCTCCTGCACATCTCCTACTGGGGATGTGTCCGCAACCCAGGTACATGCCCTTGACCGGAATCGAACCTAGGACCTTTCAGTCCACAGGCCGACGCTCTATCCACTGAGCCAAACCGGTTTCGGCTAAAGTTGTCTTTTCTTAATATCAGAAATTGGACTCGGGTAAATTCCAATTGAAATCATAAACATCTTATGTCAATTAACTTTTGCTCTTATGAGGAGTAAGATAAACTAATGTAAAGTTATGGTTGAGTCTCAGTGTTGGTGATTGAGCTTTGGGGTGCATGCTGGACCCGATACTGGGACGCTCTCTAGATAAGAAAACTTTATGGCTTGAAGACTGCTTTATAGTAGCCAGCCTGTTCAATTCAGGTCTTAATTTTAGATTTTATTGACTTTACACATGCAAACACACACACACACTGTTTGAGGAATTTTGTGCAAATCATGCCTAAAGTAGATCTTGTGCTTCTTTGGTTTGTGTATTTTCCCATAACACAAACTCAAATCTCAGGTGGGTTTCTGTTTTTCTCTACAATG